GACGCTTGCTAACGAGGAACTCGAGGTGGTTGATCAATTCACTTATCTTGGCAGCTGCATCAGCAATGATGGGCGCATAGAAACTGACGTCATCTCACGCATTGCAAAGTCCAGAACTGCCTTCTTGAAGCTGCGGCATCTTTGGCGACAGAAGCGAGTTTCTCTCCGTCTGAAAAGCCGTGTATCTGAGGCCACAGTGAGGGCCGTCCTGCTATATGGTACTGAGACTTGGCCCCTTCGGTCAGCAGATCTGAGGCGCCTTCAAGCCTTTGATCATCGTTGTCTGCGAAGCATTGCTGGTATCGGATGCCACCAGCGTGTCCGCAACGATGATGTGCGTAGGCGAGTACTAGGTCGTGATAAGCATGCTAGCTCTCTAGAACAACAGATAGAATTGAATAAGTTGCGTTGGCTCGGGCAAGTGCTACGTATACCTGGTCACCCCTTACCTAGGAGGGCCTTGTTCAGTCTACCAGGTGTAGGGTGGCACAAGGTCCGAGGTGGACAGAAGTTGACTTGACAGCGGGAAATGAACTTACTGACGACCAAACTGGGTGCCATTGGTCCGTCTCGCCTTCCGGGCTGGAGTCCAGGTGACGCGCCTTGTGCTTGGCTCGAGACTTTACAGGACATGGCTCGCAACCGACATCAGTGGCGCGTCTGCTCCCGTCTCCCCATCGGATTGCCTGTTTAAAGTGTGTTTGGTGCTGAGTTATCTGCGGGGTAATGGCTGATTATGACGCGTGGCAGTGAAAGCCACAAGGAAGCTGTCTCGCCGATGCCGCCTTATCTTTGCACGATAGCCAGCCGTTTGTGACGGTATGTTGTCTACACAAAGCTTAGGCGGCTTGACCCTGAATGCTTGCTTGCGGCATTATGGTCTTCAGGTAAGTCCCTAATCTCCCCCTCTTCTTATTCTTTATTTCATAAGTTCTCATGATTGCATGGCAGCGAAGCATCACTTCAAATGGCTGATGTACTGCTGTTGATGATGACTAGAACTGGACTCTCTCTCTCTACTCGAGTAATTAATGACTGGAACCGACTGCCGGACCCGATTGTCAATGCGCAGTCAGAAGCGATTTTCATACGTTTGCTAGACATTTTTATCGGTAACCTATTAGTTAAAATTACAGCGGATAATGTAAATACTGAAAAACAGCCTTTTGGGTACATAAAGCTTATACTCACTTGGCTTGACTAACTCAGGATCCTGCAGGACTAATACTACATCCTGAGCGACGCCACAGCTACTACGCCGGCAACCCTTGGAAGATCGGGTAGTGAATGGCTGACACGGGACCTCTCTTCTGCTTTTACCACTCAATGAATGAACAATGAATTCGAGTACCAACCCGTGGTCACCTAGTGAAGTTTCACAAACCCCGATCTGACCGGGTTAAGACAGTTTTTCGGTTATCGCGTAGGGTCTTAGGTTATTGGAACGCGCTGTCCACGAAAACGGTAATGGTATCGACGGTAAGAGTTTGAACATCTATATGACGCCCTCGGTCTGCAGTTTAAAATATTCCCCATTCATGCCTTAAGTTTTTACTCGTTTATTACGGCTTACTTCTTACTTTAGTTTCACTTGCATAACAATAGTACTTATGTAATTTGGTAAGTCTGTGTTTCCCCTTATTTCCTTTTGTTTTCTTTTATTTACGTGGCCGGCACAGCGGGGACTGCCAGTGCAGGACACGTGGGCATTGTTTGGTTGACCATGTGAATCGTGTGTATTTATCTGGCTCTCCTTTCGCAGATCAATGCACCACATTCCCTGTGGCTCAACGACGATTTCGAAGGTGGAATATTCACGGGATCTTCCTACTGTTCCGGTCCCAAATGAACTTGAACAGGTTGACCAGGATGCGATTCGGGTTTTCGTATTAGGTCCATCAAGACTTCGGAGAACTTTATCAACTGTTCAAGAAAAAGATGTACGGGACTCACGTACCATCTTAGACCACCATGAACTTGAATCGTAAAGGAGGACAAAGGTACGCAGTAGTACGCGATAGTCAACAAAAACCAGAACAAAGCAAATGAACCCGTAACCGGCAGGATATTTCCCAGGTTTTTCTAAGTATTTGTGCGAAATGCTGACTATAATTACGGTTTCATTGTATGAAATGCTGAGAATCGCATTTTGCTGGGTGCGCGGCTTGTCTTCTCTGCGCGACAGCAACGTGTGCTGTACTTTTCTTTTCCTCTAGCTAGTAATGTACGTCTCGTTTTATAGCTAGAACACATTTTATTGCACAGGTAAAAGGTTCCCTGCATCTAGCTGCGTTTTGGGGTGGCGATCTGGGCTGCCGACACAAAGATCAGCTCCGACCAGCAGGGAGTGCTTTGGCAGGATACGTGGGCATAAATTGGTTAGACAGCGTGTGATGTCGTCTTTGTTTTAGGTCAAGCAGTATTTCAAAGTCTGCCAACACCTGGTTCAACGACCCGCTGAAGAAGGAACACTAAGGGGAGAATCCTATCGTTCCAGTTCCGCTTGAACTTGAATGAATGTGATTAAGGAAAGTTAAGAGAAACACGCGAACTACAAGCAAGATAAAAAAGCATTACAAAAGTAGTAACAAGGCGATTAGTGCGAACGAACCATTTTCATTGGCCCAAGTAGATATTAACACTGATTCTGTGATGAAACTTCTTCTTTAGTTAGATCCGTACAGCTCACCCGGCCCTGATGGAATGCATCCTTTGTTCTTCAGAACTGTGGCGGAGTACATAGCTTCAGTCATTTGTCAATTCTTTCGTCGCTCACTAGAAGCTGGCCATCTTCCGTCAGCTTGGAAAGTGGGTATCGTCAAACCCATTTACAAAGGAGGGAGTCGACATGATCCGGCCAATTATCGTCAAATCTGTTTGACGTCTATAGTGTGTAAAGTTATGGAACGAATCCTAAAACAGGCTGTTAATCTTCATCTTGGGGGACAGAATGTCATTTCTTATACCCAGCATGGGTTCCGAAAAGCACGCTCCTGTACCTCGAACTTGATCTTTGCTAAGGAGACGGGAGCAAGGTCGCTAGACTCCGGCAAATGCTTGGACGTTGGGTGTGTTGACGTCAGCAAAGCTTTTGACAAAGTCCCGCATGAACGGCTTCTGTTTAAACTCCAACGAATCGGTATTTCTGGGAACCTCCTGTCTTGGATCTCCGACTTCCTAAACGACCGCTCCATTCAAGTGAAGATGAATGACATGTTTTCTGCGCCTGTTCTTATGACGAGTGGGGTCCCACAGGGATCTGTCCCGTACTTTTCAATATCTTCATCAACGACTTACCGTCTACTCTTCATACGGACTGCCTAATCTACGCTGACGGCCTAAAGCTGTGGATGGATGTATCCAGCCTTGAAGGCGCGGACAGATTACAATCTACGCTTGATCTACTCCATAATTGGTCGATTAAGTGGCAGTTGCCCGTAAATCGCGATAAATGCTCTGTTCTACCCGTTGGCTCATCTAACCCATTTGGAACTTACCACCTTGTTGGTTCCTTGCTCAGTAGCGCAACCCAAGAGAGTGATCTTGGAGTGATAGTGTCATCAGACCTCAAATCTATTCAAGACACCCAGAAGAGGGTCGCCACGGCCTATAGGATGTTCCGTTTTATACGTAGAGGGTTTTCTTTCCTGACCACGGGGCTTTTCCGACCCTTCTTTGACTCGCATGTACGCCCAATTCTCGAATACGGGCTACCCGCTGGCTATCCCCTATCCGAATGTGATATGATAGAGAACGTTCAGCGGCGTGCACTCAATTCCGTCCCTGAGTTGCGAGAAATTGGTGGTTGGTTGCTCAAAAGCGCAACCCAAGAGAGGGACTTTGGAGTGATAGTGTCATCAGACCTCAAATCTATTCAAGACACCCAGAAGAGGGTCGCCGCGGCCTACAGGATGTTCCATTTTATACGTAGAGAGTTTTCTCTCCTGACCCCGAGACTTTTCCGACTCCTCTTTGGCTCGCATGTACGCCCGATTCTCGAATACGGGCTACCCGCTAACTACCCTCTCACCAAATACGAATGTGATATAATAGAGAAGGTTCAACGGCGTGGATCCAAATCCGTCCCTGAGTTGCGAGACCTGCCGTATCCACGCCGACTTCAACGACTGAACTTGTTCCCACTAGGTTATCGCCGTCACCGAGGAGATTTGATATTCACTCGACGTATTCCCAAAGGAGAACTGGGTTGCGAGTTACAGGACTTCTTTCAACTCAACACTGGGAGTTCGACACGAGGCCACCACTTGAAACTGTTCAAATCGAGGAATCTCTGTATGCAGCTCAATTTCGCCTTATCAACTCGCGTGGTGAATGATTGGAACCGGTTGCCGGATCCTGTTGTTGATGCTGAGACAGAGGAACGTTTCAAACAACTGTTAGATTCTCACCTGAGCGCGCTGGGATTCTGCTGAGTTTAAGGCAGCTACAGTGGTGCACTGCGGAACCTTCTGCCGCAATGACCCACGCCATCTCCGCAATGATCGGGAAGTGAAGGAGCTGACAAAAGATCATCCTTATGCACTCTATCACAAAATGATTCAATGAAATTCTCACCTGAGTGGGCTGGGATTTTGTTGCCTCTAAGATAGCTACAGTGGTCCTCTGCGGGACCTTGTGCCACAATGACCCACGCCATCTGCGCAATGATCAAGAAGTGAAGCTCACAAAGGATCTTCCTTCACTCAATGATCCAAAAAAAATCACAGGAGTAGATGCGTTGAAGCACGACGATTAGTGAAGAAACTACCAAGCCATCAGTACTTTAGTACGGCCCAAATTCTATCAACCAAATCAGCGGTACCACACTGCGTGAGAGTATAGTAAAGCAACAGGGACCGTTTAGGTCAAAGGAAGGCCCGGCATGTATAAAGAAACCACGAAATGACCATATACACTTTATTTAATCTCAGAAGAAATAACCGAGAATTTTGCCACCTAAGTGCTTTCGATGCGCCTCTTCGTGGTCCATTATTCCCCCGCTAGTGGTTAGAACTATGTACCTATTATGGGAGTGAGAGCACGAAACTGTAACATACCCAAATTGTCTTGAGGGAAGAAGGTTGCTGGTCCATTTTTCTGTATCCCTGACACCCATATCAAAACGGGGGCTGATGACACCGCATTTGTTTAGCCGGCCGTTAAGCTGGACGACAATCTTCCCGGAACGGTGATCATCGATTATCTCGAATTCTCCAATATAGCCCTTCCGCTGCATGACGTTGAGAAAACGGATAATAACCCTCGAAGAAGGGCGAATCATAACCTGGCGTTTTTTCCTGCGCTCGGCGTTGCATATACATTTCAAGGCATCCGCAAGCACGTTTAGCCGAACCATGACGACGAGGAGCGACAGCCAAGGTGGAACCGGTGGGGAAAGTGGGAGGAATTAGTAGGTAAGCATTCTCGATAGTGGCCACTTACTCGACCGCCCACGGTGACCAAATTAAACATGAGTGAAATAAATGCGGAAGTGGGGTTATGCAGCTATGGTATCCAATAAAAACTTTAAAAAGTGTGTGGTCTCTGTGAGTACCACGCGGTGATTTCTTTTTCTGACGTGCTATACTTTCGAGCCTTTTGGGTGAAATTCTCGCAAAGAAAAGTGTTTGAATAGACACTTTTGACGAAATTTGACTATAGTCAAATTTTTATTTTGGAAGATAGGACCTCCATGTGCTTGGACTGAGGGAAGGATGTCACCTCACGTTCAAAGGCAGTCCAATGCACACCGCGCGACAGATGGATGCATATAGCCTGCTGTAACATTGATAATGATCTTTACCAATGTCTTCAGCGCACTACCCCTAAAGGCATCAACTTTCACTGCGTTTCGTGTCTAACATTGGTCAGCGACAAGCAGCTTCTGACGAACCCTTTCAACGTACATACTGCTTCTGCGCAAGCCGTCTCTAAATAAATCGGACAGCGAGACACCTAACTCTGCAGAGTGTCTGCCGTCGTCTGGGTATTCTACACCGAAAGGGAAACGAAGCCGCGCGTCCTCCACCACGTTGGACTTAACACCGTTGCCCAGTGAGGACGGGAATGGACTTATGCATAAGCCCAAGTCCTATGCCGCAGTCGCGAGCGCTAGCACCTCAGCAAAAACAAGGACAACCATAGCTGAGTACAAGGCCTCAAAGAAGATCTCCTCACGACCCAAGATAAAATCAAGCACCAAAAATGTGGATCTAAAGCTCGTCTTAAATAGAGTTGCGCAGCTTGAGGAACTTGTCAGAGAAAAGAAATGTCCACCAAAGCCAGCATCACCGGAAGGAGACAAGCGGGCTGTTCGCAACCGCTGCCTGATAATCACAAACGTCCCAGAATCCAACAAAGAGACTCCAGCTGAAAGGATACTCGACGACCAAGCCTTCCTTAAACGAATGGTCTCCATGTTTTTCGATGAGCATGAGCAAGGAATAAACCTAATCTCTGCTTTTCGCCTTTGGCAGAAACCAAGAGGACCCAGCCAAGTTTCGTCCTCTGATAATGCTCTGTAAGGACGAAGATGAATGCCAACGCATCCTGAGACGGACCCCGCGCCTCAAGGGAGAAACCATCTACGTTCTGAAAGACCTCTCCCCGGAGAACGGAGTCCGAATGAGGCAAGCTGTCTGCGAGCTGCGGACTCGACGCGCAAATGGAGAAACAGATCTACACATAGTGGATTTTCGCGCAGTCAAGAAAACTCAGAGAGCTCGATGGAGGCCAAACCTCTTTCTTCCAAGTCCTCAAACATAAAGAACGGACTACGGGTAGTACTCGCGAATGTGCGCAGGCTCAAAAACAAGCTAGATGAGATTCCACTCCTTATCTCTGAACAGTAACCAGTCCTAATGGCGTTCACCGAAACCTGGCTTTCATCTGACATATCTGACTCGGAGGTTAATGTTTTTTTATGACATCAGCTACTTCGATGCGAACGCTTTGTTGGGAGGTCTTGAGGCGGAGTAATCCTCTACACAAAGAACTACCTCAAGGCCCACATTGTCGAACCCGATTGTGACAGGGATGATGTGTCGGATATGCTCTGGTGCCGAATTCATGACGGATACCATTCGCTGATGGTCGGACTGGACTACAGGGCCCCTGTAGCACCTGGCTCACACTTTTTACGTCCGAACCAACAGCAGAGGAACAAATTGTCTCCTTGTGGGGGACTTCAACGCCCCAACGTAATCCGGGACCTATTTCACATTGATCTCTCACCTGACTCCTTTGAAGTTGATCTCCTTGATACCTTTCACGAGTGCAACCTGACACAGCGTGTCTTGACACCAACGCGAATGATCCCTGGTCAGACAAAAAAACATTCTCGACCTGGTTCTCACCTCGGCCTAATCTGATGTCTCAGATCTAACGATCCACCAACCTCTTGGGAAGAGTGATCACTGTACAGTCTCCTTTTCTTGGACACGACACCTCACAATCCACGATCAGGGGACACTGCGTAAAAATTTCTGGCGTACTGACCAGACCAGCTTAAGGACGACTGCAAGTAACATGGACTGGAGTATCCCACAATCCTTGGAGCTTGATGACGCAGGGGAACGCCTACGATCTATGATGATGCCGCTCATTGAACAGTTTGTTCCAAACTGCAAGTGCAGACCACCATCCAAAGGACCCCATGGATTGATAAAGAAGTATGATCCCTAATAAAAAACGTCGAAAATTATGGGATCATTTCAAGAGCACAGGACAGACATCAAGCTACTTAGAGTACAAAACGGTCAGAAACCAATGCACCCTGAGACGAAAGACTACAAAATGAACATAGCCTGGCCATGGGATCCCAAAACTGTCCCAAGAAACATTTTGCCTGCTTGAAGCGAAATGCCAAAACTGGTAGCAGAATCCCCGCTCTATCCTCTTTTAAGGAAGGTACCGTTCTCTACGGTGATGATGAAAAAGTATACCTATTGGCCGCGCAATATTCCTCGGTCTACTCAGTGGAGTCACCACTGCTCAACCACTGTTTGCCTGCACACCACTCCTATATGGACCAAGTTGAAATTAACCCCGAAGTAGTCACTAAGCTACTCTTCGAACTGGACTCGAACTCCTCCACAGGCCCGGACGGATTGCATCCCAGCTTCCTCAGAACGATAGCTGAGTGCGTCGCCGCCCCTCTCTGCCGAGTGTTTCGGCCATCCCTCGAAGTAGGCTGCCTACCCACAGGCTGGAAAGCAGGTACCGTCCGGCCCAAATACAAAGGGGAAACAAACAAGACCCAGCCAACTACCGGCCAATATGTCTGACGTCAGTCGTATGCAAAACTATGGAACGGATAGTCAAGTGCGCTTACCAGATACACTATATGCATCTAAACCTCATCGCACCTGCTCAACGTGGCTTCCGGAGAGCAAGCTCATGCATCACTAACTTACTCATCGCCGGGGAAATATGGGCAGAAGCCATAGATACCGAAAACGGGTTGATGTAATATTCATTGACTTCAGCAAAGCCTTTGATAAGGTTCCACACGTACGCCTGATACATAAACTCCAGGGAATTGGCATTACAGGAAATCTTCTCTCCTGGATTGCCGATTTCTTAAGGGGTAGGACAATGCGCGTACAAGTGAACAAAACCCCCACTGCTCCAGTACCTAGGACTAGTGGCATTCCCCCAGGATCAGTGCTTGGACCAGAGCTCTTCAAACTGTTCATTAACGATCTACCGACTGCGCTACAAACCGACTGCTTGATCTACGCCGATGACCTCAAGCTTTGGTCAACAGTATACAGCATTGAGGATGCGGACAGGTTACAGGGGGCTCTAGACCAGCTACAAGCATGGTCCATCAAGTGAGAACTGCCAGTAAACCGAGATAAATGCGCTGTTCTCCCAATGGGTGGCACCGAACCCTACGGTACATACCACATTGTTGGGTTTCTCCTTAGGAATACCACCCACGTGAGAGATCTCGGGATTATCCTGACTTCTGACCTTAGAACGACGCAGGACACGTTAAAGAAGGTGGCCACTGGAAAGAGACTGGTAGGTGCCTTAAAAAGATCATTCGCTCGAACGACTCCCGAGATTTTTCGACCGTTGTTCACTTCGTACGTCCGTCCAGTCTTAGAAAATGGCGTAACAGCTAGCCATCCGCTTTCAAAGTTTGAACGCGCTCTGCTGGTAAAGGTTCAGAGACGTGCATCGAAAGCTGTCCTGGGAATTCGTGATCGCCCGTACCCCATTCGACTCCAGAAGCTAAATCTTTTCTCCCTCGAGCTCCGCCGTCACCGGGGTGATCTCAGCTACACTAGCCGCATCATCCGAAGGGAACTTGGAAGTGAGTTACAACAATTCTTCCGGCCCAACACTGACGGTTCCACTCGACAGCACACATGGAAACTGCTTAAGCAAAGAAGACAAAATTCGCATGGGCGTCACCTTATCCACTAGAGTGGTGAATAGCTGGAACAGCCTACCGGAAGCAATTGCAGACGATCCATCCGAGGAAAGTTTCAAGCGGCTGCTAGACAAACATTCGCTGAGAATTCTGGAATCTTGCTGCTGTCACTGCAATTACGACGAACCCTGGAGGAACGTCGTAACGCAACGACACGCATCAAACGCAGTATGATACGAAATCGATGGGGCTGACAAGGGATTTGCCTCCCGCTCTCTACAACTCAATGAACTCAATGAACTGCTTTTTCAAGTTCTAGTTCAAGCGGGACTGGAACGATAGGCTTATCCCGACAGCGTGCCTTCTTCAGCGGGTCGTTGGACCGGGAGTTGGCAGACTTTGAAATACTGACAAACCTAAAGCAAAGACCGCATCATACCCCGTCCAACTGATTAATGCCCACCTATTCTGCCCTAGCAGTCTCTGCTGGGCCGGTTACGTGAAGTTAGAAGGAGAAAAACTGTAAACTCAGAGGGCAAAGGAGAAAGTGGAAAGAGCTAAGCAAGTAGAATACAAAGATATTTGAGTCATTAAATAAGAACTTAAAAGTGAAGCTGAGTCAGTTAGGAAAAATATAAAGCTTGGTTTTACCACCCAAGTGCATCGAGCTGGCGCGCAAAACCCTTAGCCGAAGGTTCCCAAACCACGGGATCCGGAAGCAAATTCCAGCGAACCATAACTCGGCGCGACGGACGAGTTTCCGTCCTAGTGCCATCAGTCCGTGGTTTATTCAGTTTCAGAGGGTGACGGCGGAGATTAGGTAATGTAGCGGGACTAAATAGCCCTGAGATGTCCGGGCCAATATTACCCGTCAAACTACGATAAGTGAGGATCAGTTGGCCACTTATCCTTCGGTAGCGCATGGAGTACATCCTAAACTGAGCAAGCGTTCAGGATACGTCTGTCCCCGTAGA